CAGAGCTAAAGGAATGTCTACGGGGAAAAGGGTGGGGGAAATGGGGACTGACGACACTGGGGGGACAAAAGGGGTCGGGGAGAAGTAACGACATACAATATGGGGGGTTAGAAAAGGTGGACAGAGATAGGAGTTCCAGAGGGGGGAACAGGGACAAGGGTCACAACGGGAAAGGAGAAGATCAGACGAGCCCACAGGGGACGTTGGGAATATTTCTTCATCTAAGTTGTCAGCAAGTGGAATGCCTAGAAAGTGAAGTAGTGGGGGCGGGAAACCATAATATTTTTAAAAAGAGGTATAAAAAAGCTCGGGAAGCAGAGAGAGAGAGGAAAGTAGCGATCAGTGAAGAGGGGGGGGCCAGGAGTGAGTCTCGACCCCTGCAAACAATTGGTGAGTCAATTGGTGAGCACACACACAAACACAACACACAACACATCACACCCAAACATCAACACCACATACACACACACATACCAACACCACACACCACACACCAACCCCACACCAAAACGGGCCCTAGTGTCTAATCGACATGTCCCTTTGGACAAAATTGGTAACTAAACCCCCCAACACCCCACACACAAAACACACACACCACACACACAACCCCCCCAACAAAAAACCACAACCCCAACACACACACACAGCACATATGGGGTAATGCTTTTTTCAGCTAGCAAAGCAGGTATTTCTCCAAAGGGTCGAAATATACCACTGGGGAAAAAATACTTACCCATTTCTTGAACCTTCTGAGTGGTTGTTTAAAAATTTCTTTAAATTTTTATGCACTCCAGACATAATACCGGGGTTGTGACAATAACCATCGGGCAAAGTTTACATTTCTTTTGGGTTACATCGGTGGTGGTGATTACCTGCCAAAGATACTTGTAACCCAGCCGGACCCGGGGCAGTAGTGACATCCAAAGATCTGCTTTTTTTTTGGATGCACATAAACTGGGGCCCTCCTGATATAGAATGATGTAGATACTCAGGTTTTCATCCCCCTAGCCTTAAGCCAAAATTCAGTTGAAATTCTTTTCGTATTATTGTTCTCAAACTACTACCTGACAAACCAAGATTGTAATCTACTCCCTCTTTGAAAGCATACAGCTTAGCCAATTTATCAGTTCTATCATGCATTCTGAAGGGACCAATGTGAGATGGAATCCACAGCATGTGCACTCTGACTCCACTGTCCACAATCCTACCATACCTGTGTCTGGCTTCTGACACAAGCATGCCACAATTTATGCTTAATGAGCTGAGAGCATTTATGGATGACAGAGAATTTAGTTACAATTAAACTGTCAATCTTTGATACATAGATGCATTTCAGTGCAAGGAGTATGGCAAACAGTTCTGTCTGAAGGGCAGAGGCCCAATTATTGATGCGTGCTCCCAATTTTCTTTAAGAGAGCCATCACTCTGTACGACAACAGCAGCACTACCAGCTGCCACCAAATGGATTGGTGAACAGAACCCTCAGCGTAAAAAAATTTGCGAGAGTGTGTGCTGTGTGACTAAGTTTCAATACAGCTTAAGGCCTCATGTTTGGGTCAAGGTGAAGTTTTGGTTGTGATTTAAGAAGTAGTTTGGGGGGAAATGGAGGAATGGTAGTTTGGAATAGGGTAATATTCCATGGAGCCAGAAGTGCCTGGTAGCGCTGGAAAACTATAGTCGGCTGCCTTTTTTGACATGGTGTCCTGCCGTTGTGGTCTGCAGTGTTGGCAATTAGGGTGTTTTTGGTGTCACGGTGGTTTTGGATTTAATGTTTGGGCGTAAATGGTGAAAGGTGAAATCCAGCCCTGCAATTTTCCCTGGAAGATCATCAGTGCCGTGGTTGGGGAAAACTCACCTCGTGCGAAAACTTGAAAAAGTTCTTGTATCCATCCCCCTGTTGTAGGGGTAGGGGGGGGGGCCTTTTCATTAGTCTGTGGTTTTAATTGACGGGGGAGGTTTTTTTTCCCCCGTAGAGGTGGTCTTGGTATGTTGACCTGGTGGAAGGGAAACAGGGGTTTTTAAAAGTTTATCGAATGTTGCATGTGAATGGAGTGAAAACCAGTTGTTTGTAGTCCGGGGCTCCTTTTTGTATCGATATGAGGTAACACGTGTGCGTTTGTCCCTTTTGTCCAGGTTGGCGGCGATTCTTATTTCCTCTCCCGTTAACCGTCTTTGAGTTTTTCATTCATCTTCTCTATCTTTTCGTGGTCGTTGTCACTGGACGCCGGAGTAGAGATCACGACATGTATTACGTCGGTCAGAAAAATGGGTGATGAACTCTTGCATCACTGTCACCTGCAACTGGCTTTGATGGTTCCAAGAGTTTTTCTACTCCCGGAGCCCGGCCGTGGACTAGGTTTATTCTGGAGCTTGCCTGGTCAACCAGGTTGTTGCTGGGTGGTGATTTTTTTTTTACTCCAGTTGGGGAGGTCGTTGACATAGATGTGAATGGTATAGGACTCAGACAAGAGCCTTGGGGAACTCCCGCTGTGAGCAAGAATGCCTCCCTTGTTCTTTGGTTAATTAAAGGTGGGGATGATAATATAATTAATTTAAAATCATTTATTTCTACAAGCACATGTACAAGGTATACAGGCCTACCTGACATCAATGAAATACTACTATATAGAAAGCCGCTTGTTATGCAGAGCATATCGAGCAAATTAGGTCAGCTTTGTCCCAGGATGCGTCCCACACCAGTCGACTAACACCCAGGTGCTCATTTTATACTGATGTGTGAACATGGACAGCAAAATGTCCAAGGAAACACGTCCTAATATTTTCCAGTCGTACCGGAAATTCGATTCCAGACCTCAGGTGTGTGAGCTGAGTGCGTCTCTTGGTTAGGAGGTTAGACTAGACGTAGGACAGTTCAGTTGTGGTCGGGGATGTCAGCCAGTTCGAATAAGAGCCATCATGCCAGAGGCTGTCAGATGCTTTGTGTACATTTATCGTTGCCTTGACTGCGTAGGTTATCAACAGCGTCGTAGATAATGCTGATGGTATAGTGGTTCCTCTTTGGTTCCTGAACCCGAAGTTTCTTCTTAGTGAAGAGATGATGAAATGCCATTGTATAGTACATCCTGTGGAGGTGATTTTCCCCGAAGTTCTTGACTGTGATCTCTAACAAGATGGGTCTGAAGTTCTCGGGTTTCTTCTTGACTTTGAATGAGGATATGATGAAACATTCCAATGTGGACTAAGTAACAATGAGAGTTTCAGAAGTCACGTTCCAGTAGAAGTGGAATTATTTTTTACTTGGAATTACCGTCTCTCAGGATGGCCTCTAGAGAGTGATGGCTATGTTGAAGTAGAGCAGGATGTTGGATGGATGGACGGATAGGGTTGGTGGTGGTAGTTGTGGTGGTAAGGTTAGCTGTGGTGGTGCTTGGGTTATGAGGAGAGGCATATACGCGATGACATGAATTAG